TGTATGTGCTAGATGATAATGTATGGGACGGGCAAAAGGTCTCAGCCTCAATGGCGACTGCACTAAAATAGGAGAAAACAAGTCTCGTAACAAGACACAATGGACAGAAAATGTCTTGTGTGATGTCGCCAGGAATCGGCGCTGAAAATGAAGACTTTTCCTGTAATTTAAAATGACGTCGTGACATGTTGCTTCCCCACCTCTCTCTCTCTCTCTCTCACCCACTCACAAACACACACTTCCACCCTGTCCCTTTTCGGGGGAGGGTACTTACATATTGAGACATACGGGTGTGTGCTGCTCTAATGGGTCACTTTTTCACGAAAAATCCCTAAACATGGGTACCATTTTTAACAAAAAATATCCCTAAACATGCGTCCGTTTTTTTTCGAATATTGTGAAAAATGGGCTTTACTTCGAGAAGAATCGCCCATAATGACCCTTAAAGATGGGTAGGGGTTTCGAGGCTTGTGCAGCACACCCCCGTCTAAACCAAATCTGAGTATCCCGCCCCCACCCAATCCCAGCTCTCTTCGGTCTTCCGTTATCTCCTGCTCTTCCCCGATAAAGTGGATTCCCTCAAGAACCAAAAGCGTGCTGTCTGTAAGCATGCTGTACATGTAAGTCACGCATATGCATCCATTTTCAAAAAAATACCCCCATTTCTCTCCCTCCCCCCCCCCCCCCAATCTTATCTCACAATTCCTATACTCGAGCCGTCGAGTTTAAAGGTATTACAAAGTTTTGGGAAATTTTGAAAAATGGGTGGATAGTGATTCTTTACAATTTTGATATATTTGGATGCCCATGTGGATGAATTAAAAACACCAGAAATGTTAGCCCCTAAAACGTTTCTGCTTTCGAGAAAAATCGAATATAAAGATTTACCGGTGCTCCCGGTAAATTTTGATAAATTTCAAATAGCTCCTACGGCCGTACAATGGTAGCTACGACCATGAAAATCTCAGAGTGTGTAGTTGTGATATATAATTTCCGAACGAGAATAGCTTATCGGTCGATTTTAGTCAATAAACATTGTTTTATAACATAATTAATATCTTGACCTTGAGAGGGAGCTATTCAACATAAAGTGTTTATTATTTAAAATTTCATAACTTTAGAGTCGATTTCGACCGCGACAATGATCACTGAATATTGTAGGATCGTATATGCTTCCAATATGTTCATTTGAACCAAATTCATGACCCAATACCAAAACTTTGTATTACCTTTAAAGTGTAGCAGAATTATTTAACCTACCCCCAACAAAAACTTGCTCCCCTTGCACCGCGCCGTGGCCGCTGAATAGTAGTTAGAAATTTGCCCTTTTCATACAGAAGACGTGTCGCCCTTTTGTGAAGCAAAAACCCACAAAGGTTTTCCTAAACCTTGTAATCCCTACTTCTTCTTGTTGGTTTTACGCCCCTTGAGATTGCGCGGTCATTTCAGTCCCCGCAGTCAAAGCGGTCCCATGTGAATTGCGCTTTGAAATTAGAGACTGATCCCGTCGCGTTGTCGTTTTAGAATCCTTTTAAAGGGCGCAGGGAGTATAATGTCGGATGCCGAATGAAAATGGTTCTGACCTCGGCAGTACAAAATTAGGATACGCATTTAATGGATCCATCTGGATTATCATTAGGAGCGATAAGCCACTAATGAGATTTTAAACAAAACTCTAATCTGGTCAGTCTACAAGAAAAAAAAATAGAAAGGGGGCTCTTGAATGCTCGAATACTTGCGATACATTCATCGGTTGTGTAGTTTGTACAGGTACTAAAGCGCCAAAATATCTTCATTTTAATTTGTAGGGTGTGTCCAATGTGTTTTTGCTAAAATGTATAAGTTGTTTTCTTCACTTGGCTCGTTTCCGATTTTTTTGTTGTTGGTGTAACTGCAATCTCTTCTTCCATATCTTATCAATTTGTTTTTTTCCTTCCCTTCTTCTTCTAGGTTTAGTGTTTATTACTTTTCCCTTCCCTTCCTGCTTTAGTCTCATCCTTGCTTTCTATTATCTTGTTATTTTCCCACCCCGAGGAGAGGAATTCTTGATGTATGCCCATAAGTCTCCCAGTTGTTGTCAAATAGAGTTAAATCATTACCGTGCTAGCATTCCATTTAAAACTCGACATCGAACGCATCACCCAAAATACTTTTGATTTAATTTATTTTAAAGCATCGGTAGCGGTATCATGTATAGCATTGTAGTTTTCAATTTCTATTCAGGATTATTTTATATAAGTTTATATAACTTTTAAATGGTTATTCAATACTGATCGGTGATTTCCGCGACATGAAACACCAATGGATGGAATAAAAACGAACCGTTTCAGCGGCTTTTAACTTATCTCATAAATATACAATTCTTATATTTACCCAGCAGTTTCACAAAATAATTGATTGACCTATTTCCTGTACACTTGAAGTAAAAAATATATGCTCCCAGAACTCTGTAAAAATAATTTGTTCCAACACTTTTCACATCATGCAATCATTTGAATTTAACAAGGTAATTGTTGATTGTACGATTGTTCAATCCAATAGCGTGGCGCCAATCCTGATAAAAATTCTGTTCCCATAATTTTGCTTGATGATGAGCGTGCTCTAAACTAGTTTTCAAAACTAGGCTAACCCCTCTCGATAATAGGACCAAGTCCCTCTTGGTTGCAAAACCAATATAGCCTAAGAAATCCCCCATGACTCTATGCGTTTTGCTCATTCAGAAAAGAAGAAGTCAGTTTGTTTACCCTTACGAAATTCCAAGATTTGTCCAAGACCCAATTTTGGCGCTTTTTTATCTTCTTCAATCGCGTAGTTTATCGCCTGCCGTTTTCTTGTATATCTGAACAAATATGTAAACTTGTCCTTTGTAATCAACGACTATAACTCTGTTTGATTTTCGCATAAAGAACATTTATCGAGTGGAAAAGAAGAGGCGGAAAAGGTAAAGTTTAGAAAAGGCGTCGTAAGCTTTTTGAACTTATTGCCCCGGTCACACGTTCCGAAACATCCATCATCTGTGGAGAGCCAGAAAGGCGTTAACTGATATTTGAATGGAGTTAACGCTCTTCTGGCTTTTATCTGGTGTTATACCTTCATTTAAGCATATCATCTTATCATAGACGGTTTAGACGTCTCTGAAAAAGGGGCTGCCCCCTCCCACCTGATAAGTTTGAAACGACCAATATTCACATCGTACTGAGCACATTGCAATTTTTTAATCTTATCTACACAAAGTATATTTCTATGACGAAAATGCATCAAGGGTTATCAAGAGACACAGCATGCGTAAACAGTGGATGCTTTTACTCCAAAGTGTCACGTTTTGCTTGTTCGCTTCACTCCCTCGCGAGATTTAGAAACCTTAACATTGATATTGAGACGGGAGACAACAGCCCCCTGACGAACTGCTGTCCGAACTCCTATCTTATATTTTAGGGTCAGTGGTGAAATATCAATTCCCTCTGTTAAAGAAAATTGAGATACAGTCCAAAAGAAAACACTGCGTGATACATTTCTCTCTGTTATAAGAAATAAATCATTGTCCTTGAGATCATATTATCCAAAGTTCGTTTTGCGAAACGCACTTAGAAAACAGAGAAATATTCAAGTTGATAGAGCAAACATCTATGTTAAGACATTAAACGATTACAATTTGGACAGTATTCCTCCAATACATATTTTAAAACCAGTTCCGAATACATTCAAGTTTGCTTATTTAACCAACTTCATATCCGAAAGATATCTATAACTCAATTGGAAAATTCAACTACAACTACAATCGTGACAATTTTAGTTATCGGCAACGTTGTGACCGGGGCTGGAAGAAGAAGATCGGATGCTTTGCAAATGAGATTAAAAGGGTGATAAAAATATGTTGCGTTGGTAAGAGCTGGCTTTTCGCACCTTTGGGTCTTTCATGTGGTTTGATGTTTGAGAAAGGGATTAAATCTTTAAGGTGTCGATATAAAATGGATTTAGAACGTTAAGGTGTTGATCCAGAGCTGTGGTGACCGGATCAATTGAGGGCTTCTGTATGCTCAAGTGGTTAATGGATCTTCCGCGAAAATTAATGGAGTTGTGCTCCCTTGTCCAGCGTTTTCGATTTAGATCCATAAGAAATAGACCAAGTATTCTTTGATACAAATTTGCCACTAAAGTCACTCTTATTCGCCAGGAGGTTTTGACTTCGAAACGAAACATCGATCAACGGAATCTTCAAAAACTCTCGTCATAAGAGAAACCCTAAAGTATGAACATAATGATAGCTTTACAATAGCTTGTTGAGGTTACTATTGTATAGCGTTTCTATTGTTTGGTTTGGTTTGGTTTTATTTTCCGTATAAAAAAAAATTCAATACATACAAGAATACAATTTACAAATAACGTCGCTGTTTTCACGAAGTGACGATAGTGAAAAAAAATTGCATTCTCTTTGCGTGACGATTTTCCTCACTACCGTCACTTCGTGAAAACAAGGACGATAATACAAATCAAGAATTAAAAAAACGGCTGGAAAGCTCTATTCAGAGCCATTATTAAAATGGCTCTGTTCTTCCTAGAGGTCCAGAGGTAATTCAAGAGTCATAATCTATTTTAATGAATTTTAATTTATCGTACCAATTCCAGGTCAATATTGTGAGACCCTTATCATAAAACCAAGGGTTGAGGGTTCGAATCCCAGCCTGGTACTCATGTCTTTCTGCCAGGCGTTAATCCACATTTGCAACACTCTAACCAGGTGTAAATGGGTACCTGGCATTGTTGGCGGTAATAATAAATGCAGGGCTACCAAGAAGAGCTGTATCAGTACTCATGTTGCTACCGTTGGTAAATAAGACCCAATTTTTATTATTATTGTTAATTATTCGGAAAAGTTATCCAAGGGTTCAGGAGACCAACGCCCTACGAGACCGACAGAAAAGCTGGGAGATCGACATGTCGGCGTCGTGGGTTTTTCAGATAACCTTTCTAAGCTGTCCTCCAATAAATTGCAACAATAAATGTTATGTAGATGTATTAATTTTATGTATATTATCCACAAATTAAAGAACATCAATTGTAGATATCGATGCTAAACATTATGATTATTTTTTTTCTCTTCTTTTTTTCCATTTTCAGCAGACCGATGACCCGCCTCGTAAAGTTGACCCCGAAGGAAGTTGGTTGTCGTTTGTACGTCATTCATCGAGGACATCGGGCTCATCAACGTCCACGTCGACGTCCACTTCATCGAAAAAGAAATGCGAGAAGAAAAACAAAGACAAATCAAGGAATTCAAGAAGATTGGTGAGTTGTCATGTGAAAATCTTTGTACAAAAAGGAATAACTTATGTCCTACAAAAGAACAATCAGGGGCGGATCTAGGGGGGTTTCGACGGTTTAACCCCCCCCCCCTTGGGCGGCCAAGTGAGAAGGAAAAAAGGGAGGGGAAGGAGAAAAATATTTAAAAAATAAACAGTAAAACGGCGCGATTTTTGGAAAATCCTGGATCCGCCACTGGGTCAACCCCCCCCCCCCCCTTGGCAAAAAGCTAGATACGCCCCTCACAATAGTTGCATAAGATCACATTGTAACCTAGGTTGGGTGAATAAGCAGTTGAAAATAGTGGTAAAGGGAAGTTTAAGCTAAACGTATTCAATATTATTCAAATCTGGTGTTGTGCTCTTACGATTAAAAAGGTCATGAATGTAAAGATTTAGTTAAACTGCGTTAGTTTTGAAATAAATTTTGTTTATGGAAATATCATATAGTCGCCCTTTCAGTGATTGTTTTTTATATGATTAATTTTCTTTTTAAACTGAAACATATTTCAATTAAAACAATATATTAAAAACTTCTATTCAGGCTCCTTAAAACCATTTACAATTGAACATGACATAATCACAGAGTAAAGGTTGTTAGCCGGAATTGCGTATTGTTTGTGACCACATTTCTGGAAGTAAACTTGGACGAAGTAGAATGCAGTTATATCTGGAAAATAGAAAAAAGACCGAAGAATTAAAGCAGGGTATCTATGAGCTCATCTTCGGGTTCAAAACTGAAATCATAGACGGGTTAATTGCTGTATCATGAGGCAACCGGTGATGTTTGCACCTTCATTAAAACCAGGCGTTCACCCACCGTAACGGGTCGACATTCCTACGATCAAAAGGGCTCTCGACATGCCCAAAGCATACACAAAGCATACACAAGATAGAGTAATCCAATCCTATTTTATCTTTACTGTTGCCCATCATTACTGTCTTACAAAGAAAGAAGGCTCTTGACAGTCTTAAGACGACAAAAAGCTGGAAGAAGAAAAAAAGGGACTGTTATACCCTCTAGCTCTTGCCCTCTGTCCTGTTGAGAAACACTTCTTGGTTGTCATCCTTTGTTTCGGGACGTCTTCGAGCGCTGGGCGTTTGTTGTATGATCATCGGGAGGGTGCTCCGGGGGGGGGGGGGGGCTCGAGGGGCTTAGCCCACCGGTGGTGACACCCCCTCCCTTAAAGCTTTTCTTCTCAACGTCTTACTTTAGAATCATCGAGAGGGTTAGACTGGACCCCCTGTCATTCTTGTTGTGATTGACAGTTATTCTTTCTTTTCTTGTGATTATTTGTGACAGGGATGCCAAGATTCTTCTTAACAGAGAGGTGACAATGTTATAAGACCCTTAAGAAAATTCGCGCTTAACTGTAAAAAAAATAGCGTTTCTAGTTTAGATGATTGTTGCTTGCACAGTTCAGAACGAGAGCTCGATGTCACTCAATCCTGTGAAGAGCAAGTACGTCTTTTCATTAAAATAGTAAAGGACGTACCGTTTGCAAACGACGATAGAAATGTATTTGCTTGGTTCGAAATATTTGGAGTTTTCACAAAAGGGCTTTAACTCTATTCTAAATTTTAGAAATTAACGACATTGGTACTATAAATACATTATGCTGTATGATATTCATCTGAAGAGGAAAGTAATCGGTCAGGATGCCCCCATCCCCTAGTCCAAAGTGCCCCTCATAACATGTAATATTTTGCCTCTTTTTAGATTTTTTCAAGCTTGAGCCTTGACCCAGGTAAAACATTCTTTGTTAGCAGCTGAGCTTCAGAGGTCCCTGAAATATTTAAAATTTTAAATGATAAAGAGCCGCGTAATTATGCCAGTTAGATTCATAAATGACCTCATGTTTTTGTGTCGGGGCTCTAAATTCAACGTTTCTATACCATGAAAACACGAAAACATCATCACATCATATTCTAATATTATTCTCTCAGGCTGCTTATATTATATTTTAAAAAAACACAATCATATACATCCTGGGAAAGGCAGTTGGCAGCAATGTACCTTGTACTTCTTTATTAGGCTAAGTTCGTATAGCATTTCAGTATGCAATTCTTATTTACCATAATGTTCTTATTCTTTTTGGGGGAGGGAGGCGGTAACATTTTGTCAGGGCCGCCCCCTCCCACGAGCACATCGAAATCTGGACCGGGGTGTATATGACTTCGTATCAAATTGAATATTTCTCGAAATTCCAACAAAGTAAAAGTTTTAATCCAGACTATTTTCATATCTGACAGCTTTTCATTCTACTCGCATCATTCAAATCGATGATACTCCTTTAACATGTTTAAGCTGAGGATTGCTTTAAATTGTGGATTGGTCTAGGATTAGGGAAGTAAAATAGTTTGTACTCCGTACAAGGTTTCTTATGATTGTTCAGTATTGAGTTTCAACATGGACCTAAGACCGTGTGTGTACAATCATCAGTAAATCTATACCGCGGCTTCGAGAGACCCTTAGAATTGAACACGATTTCCAAGTCATTCCAATATCATGGAATTTTTCCTTTTTCTAGGGGCGTCCATGAATAAGAATTTTTCCGGAGAATGAAATGACCCTTAGCGCCTCTCATTATTTTGCGGTTTTGTCGCCCAATTGTCGCATTCTCATAACGATTACCATGGCCTTGAATGGGTGGTTTTATCGCATCATTTAGGGGAATAGTATGCGAAAGGTAGATTTTATAACAATCCGTTTAAAGCAAGGGAAACTATAGAGAACATAACGACGAGAAAAAAAAGACTAGTGATGCTAAATGGAGCAAGTCGTCAAACAATTAGCATTCACACCTTCTCAAAAAGATCTTATTTCACGGTTTTTTCAGATATGCTTGAAATTGAATTTGATAACAATAGACGAGCTCAAATCGCTGCTCGCACCAACGCGCCAACACAACATAAAAAATGCGGTGAACAAAGTACCATAGAAAGAAAAGGTTCTGACTTTGCCTATACCTAGGCAAGCGCATAGTACACCTCGTATTGCTTGTTGCATATTCCAATATTCCCTTTTAATATCTAATACACGAATTTAAATATGAATCTTTGCATTCACCAAATCCCTAACACTTAGGATATTTAGAACCCTACTGTTTCAGTGGTCCTTACAGATATCCATTTTGTTCTCCTATACGGATGGAACGGCGGTGCACAGTGATCAAGACTTTCTGTTGCCAATACCGAATGGTTGGATCAGTTGGCTAATGCATTGCATTGCATTGTAAAAGAAACGGTGTGGATCAGAAAAGTTTGATCATGGAGCATATAAGTATTGGTGTGTACTGCAAGGTTTTGGAATTTGGCCCAGTATTGGTAAGAAACAAGCACTGTACACAGAAATATGTACACTGTATATGGGACTACACAAGCATGTGGCATAAAAATGAGGTCCTCATTTTTAAGCTATTACATTTCATATTTAGAACATGACGGCATTTGAAGAGCGATGCTTTTCAGTGAACATTTTTTCTCTAATGTACTTCCACACTTGCATAATAACAATGAAAACACTCACAACTTATTTTCACCTCTCCCCAGAACTCAACCTTCTAATCAAACTCTTGCCTAGAGATGCGAAGGTGTGGGCGTCCTTAAGCAATGCATTAAATCTGCATTGGTTCTCTCAACCCAGGTGTTAAATGGGTACCCGGAAGCATGTGCAATTATTAGCTTTGTGATTAGCAATTAGAACTATACTTTTGGAGTGTAAGGAACACGGTCGGAAAAACTTTCTGGAAATGAGCCCTAAACACCACCATCAACAGCCTTATACATTGTCTTTTTAAATGTGCAAACTTCACAAAAGTATATTACGTCATTGAAACATGATTGCAATTATCCATTAGTTGACTATATAAGTCTTTGCGATCATGAATGGGCATACGATTGTCGTATTTATCAAGAAACAAGAAAGTTGCATATCAACATTTGCCACTCTCCACCCAGTTGTAATAAATGGGTGCCTGGTAGGAATTCATTCCTTGAATGCTTTGAGTGCTTTAGGTTAGCTTGCATGGCTAAAAACCAGGGTAGTAGTTGCGCTTTGGATTATCGTGCACAATTATGATTGTGGCTGTTACTATTATCATTATCGTTATTCTTATTGTTATTATTGTTATTACACAAGCGAACGTGAAATTAATGTATTTTCTAATGTATCTGTCAATGATTTTTCCTTTTCTTTCTGTTTTCAGCCAGAAGCAGATGGCCCTGCTGGACCACCCGGGCCTCAGGGCCCTGCCGGCCCTGCCGGGGCACAAATCACTAAGCAGGAACTACTCACAGAATTTAGGGAATTGATAAGAGGTATGAGCTTTTATTAATGGCAGTTTATATTCAAGGTTTACATCTGAACATTCATCACCAACATAATTAGCCTAACCGTTATGATGATGATAATAACGATAAGCAATATCGACATCATCTTCTTCATCACCATCATCATTATCTTTATGAACATCATTACAATTCTTCATCTAATTCTCGACCTCCTTCTCGTCTTCCCCTGGCATCGACATTATGATCGCTTTCACCCACGTTCCTCCTCATCATCATAATATTCATTTTCATCATCTTAAAGATGAAGTTGAGTTCTGGTCATGCGATTGCATTGTGAAAGAAACGGTGTGGAACCGACCAGAAAAGGTTGATTATCTAGCATAAGAATTTGTGTGTATTGCAAGGTTCTGGAATCATCAACATGATAAGAAATTTGGCCAAGTCTTGGTAAAGTTACAAACACTTGCACAGAAAGATGTATATGGGACTACACGAACACGTGGCGTAAAAAGCCGGCCCCCCCCCCCGATTTTTACGATGTTACATGCATATTTAGAATATGAAGGCATTTGAAGAGCCATGCTTTTTAGGGAACATGTCTTAATTGATGTTCTTCCACACTTGCATAATAGGAATGAGTAATGCTCACAAATTAGTTTTCACCTCTTCCCAGAACTCAACCTTCTCTTTAATAGTAATAATAATAATAATCATCATCACCACCGCCATCACCACCACCATTATCATCATCATCATCATCATCATCATCATCATCATCATCAACAATGTCATCATCACTTTCGTCATCACAATATTTACCTCCATCACCATCACTACCGTAATTATGGCACAAGTAATGCCGAATACTTGTCTTGAGAAATTACTTGCAATATTATGTTCCTATACGTCAAAGGAACATTTCAAGGTTTGTTTTAATCGTCATTTTGCTTTTAAACTAATACCACTTTTCGTCATTTTTTCCAAAATCCTCCAGTTTGATAAGTGTTATATCAACTAGGTACTAGTACCTCATGTCTTGCGTTGAACCAGGGAGGTCGAACGGACATTGACTTGATATTGTACCACCTAGCCGATAATTACACAGACTTTATACTCATGAACAATAATACGGTGTATGACACATCTCATTTGAGTCGAACCATTGATAAAACCTCCTTCTTAAGCCAACTTTCTTGACAAAGAATATAATAAAGGAGAACTGACGGGCAATATATTATAGTCCAGCGAGAATCTATGAATTAAAATAAATGCGACAGTTATATTACATTACGGGGGTGTGACGGGTGGCCATACATCACAGGTGAATAAGGGGGTTGAGAAAGACCCGCTCAAGGCATTGAATGAGTTTTGTAGGTTAATGGTCTTGCAGCTCCGTTTTCATTTCTCGGCGAGGGAGAGAAAAAATGGGAAATGGGAGTATTTGAAGTTATTATAGACGCGAGTGTGGACTTTAGGACGTGTTTAAAGGGACAACCGATATTTGTTTTAAAGGTATAAATTTGTACCTTTGCTGGTGCAACACCAGGTGCAAACTTGCCCCCTTTGAATTAAAGGCAGGCTTTACTACTTCGGCCAGAAGGGATTAGACCACCAAGCGAGCCAGCGAGGTCACTGTGACAGGTGGCTATCTCATTAACTCAGCTCTCATTTAACATAAGAAAAAGAGGATCATGGGGGACCAACAGGCACCGATTGGGGAAGTTTTCTATATAGAGGGAGCAAGTAGCTACAAGTAGGACAGTGTGCCTTTAAATGAAGGATATAACACCACACAAATTACTATTATTTGAAATAACAATTCGTGTACAGTTAGCTTGTACACATGACGTTAACCCCAAATCTTCACGCACCTTATTAAGAAAATATTAGGAGAAAGAAGAAATGTCATTCTCAGAATTAAAGTCCATTGACAATATTAAAGGGGCTATTGCAGTTACATTGGATAGACGAAGACGTCCTGTTTCTTTTAGTTTGCGACCACTCAAATTCCTCAAATTTAATCGACTGCATCTATGAGGAGAAATATAAGCTACATATTCAAGAGTATCATTTGGTTATTTTTGACCACTTGCATTTAGAGGGATGAAAGATATGCTCGCTCTACATTTATTAGGGTTGTATATAGTTCCCTCTAAAAAATCTTTACACACAAATTTACGAATTGATGGATGATAATGATGATCGATGGATGTTTTAGGGGCGGAGGAAGATCTTAGATTCAAGGTTATATTCTTTAAATAAACTGACAATTCATTTGTTATCATAAAAACTACTTAGTTATTGAAGCCGATCTCTAGAGTCTTTGATCTTGCCGACGGTTAACAGAACCAGTGATTGCTTACTTTTCTTATTAACGTAGATCTCTTATTTCCCTTTTTATCTGATATTGGTTTCTTATCATTCGCGTTCTTTTTATTCTCAATCTCTTCAACAGAAGCGGCAGAAAGACGAGCACAGATTATTATTGGAGAAAAGGTGTGTATTGTAACTGTAACAGCCAGTACCTCCTTATAAAACCAATAAAGCATACCATAGGTAGTTAGGTACAACAAAATAATATCAAATGCGACAGCCTTAGAGTTATGATGCTGAAAGCAGTTGACAAATATGATCTCTTTTTTGGAGGGGGGGGGGGTGTTAGAGATCTTTTGTGTTAATTTTTTTTTGTTTAATTGGCATTGTGCCCATTTCACATAAACCCCGATGTCCCCTGTAATTCACAACCCAAATCTTTAAGACCAGTTCATTGTCACTGTCAAAAACAATGAGAAAATAAAATGCCCAACATGACTGTATGAACTTATCTGTGTATATACGTCAAAGTTTAAGCCTAAATTGATATATTTTTGAAAATTTAATACCACAAATTTTGTGAAAAACACTTATTAAATGGATAATTTCCGGACGCCGAAAAGAAAGGATTCCGAGCTTAATTATTTAAAGATAATTTTCTTCAACTTTCAATCATCTACTTCTACATATCTTATTATCGTGACAGAGATTGTTGATGTTGACAGTCATTAGCTTTATAATAGTTTAGTGAAGAGTTGAGAGTTCAATTTGTAATTGTTCCTAAAGTCTTTATAACCAATGTTCTATGTTGAAAATTGACAGTGTCCGAGTTGTCTACTCAACATCACGGAAGGAACGGAATTACATCTTCCGAATCTTGAAGAACTCGAGCTCCTTCCCACCCTCCCCATCGCCTTCCATTGCAAACTCAGTCGAGATCTAGACATCCCGGGAAAAAGTCTTATTGAAGTCGTCAATTTTAGAACGGTGAGTATACACGGCGTTAATCTCGCTACACAGTCATGACGTAGGTTGCGTCAGTGAATGAGGCGTCATTTTCCTGACGTAGCATTGCGTCAGTGACTCGATGGGCCTCTGACGCGCCTTGATAAAGTGGCATCGCACAGAAAGCGATTCCCAAATGCACAGTGTAAAACAATGCGTTGACTTATTGGCGCATGGGTGCTTTCTTTACCCTCAACGGATTGATTGACGCAGGTAATAACGTGTCGACATGACGTTTCGTGTATCAAGTGTATATAACAATTTTTTTCTAGATCCACTTTTTATAATGGCTTTGAATTAATAAATACTTTATTCATATTTCATAAATCTAGAAATGTAAGATTAATCATTGACTAATTTTCTTGGCAAATAAAAAAAACACTATTTCTTTAACGCTTGTGCATCAAATAATTCTCAGAAAATTCATAAATTATCTTCAGATATTTGACTGAACATATTTTTCCTACCCCTCTCGCCCCCCCCCCCCCCCCCCCCCCCCACTCTCTTCCTCTTTAAACCTTCCGTTGATCAGCCGATGGACACCGGGTCATTTCGGCGGGGACGAGGGTTGGATGTTAGGTCGGGAAGGTTCACGGCGCCACGGACAGCCATCTACCAGCTCTCCGCAAACCTCCACATAGGCCAGCGGCTCTCAGACGTCAAATCGCGGGAACTAAAGCCGAGGGATAACGTCCGGTTACTCATATGTATCAACTCGATGTGCCAGAGGCATACGTAAGTACTCAAGTATTGTATTTTTAAATGTCTTAAGTGTCAAAAAGCCCAAATGTTGGTACATGTATCATCATAACCATGCAGTCCAATTTCCGGGGGGGGGGGGGGGGGGGGGGGCTAACATGCAAAATATGCCCCCACCATGCACCACAAGGAGGTATGTGTATATACTTACCAACTTCATGTTCAAATATAATGACAACATGATAATAATGATAACTGTATGTGCATTGCCCTATTTTTATACAGACAGACTCAAGAATAAAATCAGAAATAAAAGCAAACTCAAAAAATAAAATGTAAACCGACGACAAAATGTGGGAGTTACCCGTACAGAGCAATGTAGAAATATAGTCGGACCTACAAGTATAGGGCAAGAAGGGAGAAAGAGAGAGAGAGAGAAAGAGAGAGAGAGAGAGAGAGAGAGAGAGAGGGGAATCAACGTGCGTTCTTTATGCAGAGTATACATCAGGAACAATCAACAAATTAAAGTAACAGAAAAACTATATGGTCGGCGTATTTGCGGTGAGAAAATAATGTGGTAAAAGAGACAGAAACAAATCATTGCAATGTAGAACTATCGTCAGGCATACATGCATACTTATATAGGGCAAGGATGGAGAAAGAATGAGAGAGAGGGGGAGAGGGGGAGGGAGGGGAGGAGGGAGAGAGAGAAAATCAATTGGAGACATATCATTTAGGAACAATCAACAAATTATGAAGTAAATGAAAAACTATATGGTCGGCGTATTTGCGGTGAGAAACTAATGTGGAAAAGAGATAGAAACAAATAATTACAGTGACAAAGAAATGCATTTGTCAAATTAGAATCTGTCTTAATGACTATGGAAATATTCTCCTGCACCCATCGCCCAATGTCAATGTCCCCAAAGCACGACTCGTCCTTGTAAATTTTCAAGGAATATTCAGATTGTGTATTTGACCTTGTTGCTCGTGTCAATGAATTTTTGTACATTGTTCTGCGGTGTAATTTTTGTGGTAAATCTAGAAGGTGTGATGAGAAGACCGCATATTAACAATGGCGACTTCATTTTGAAAGAATGGTATATGTAGAGGACGAGTTTTATTGAAATGATCGTAAAGACGTCCAGAAACTCAGCATAAAGCACGTAAGACATTTTGCATCACTTACTGAAATGTGGGAACTTGATTGGGATATATTACGTATATACCAGTATATCAGAGAATGATTTCTATATAGGCAATAAAAGATGGTATTGAAATTGCCCATCTGCTAATTCTTGAAATTGTTTTCCATTGTGTTCTTTGAATTCTTATGGTTTTATCAGATTTTTCATGTGCCTTTGGGTCTAAAATTGAAAAATGGCACACGGAAAGGATGGGTGTTTTGTGTACTTAAAGTATGCCATCGGGACTTTTAAAGGGGCACTGGTCGGGGCACCTCCCACCCCCCCCCCCCCCCCTCTTCACTCCACCAGTTCAGATGGAAGCGTAACAAAACTATGTCTCCATCCTAAATGGTATATCGTTTCATCTGTAGATTTCTTTTCAAACAAGAAGATTTCATTTTCGCCTTGGTAATATGTAAATATTCAAGAAACTGGAATAGTACGCGCTATCGCATTTTGACCAGAGAAAACTTTTCGTTTACTGGTTCAAAAGTGGACATTTATTCTACAAGCATTCGTTTATACCTTCTATCACGCCAGGTACAATTTAACAAAACTTCTCACCGAAGCAAGCCGCAACCCTGAATATAACAGTTACAAGGCTCGTTTTGTTACCACGCTCTCTTAAAGCAAATTCTTTGTTCAGAAAAAGGGTATTTCAATTCTTTTCAGGCAGTTCTCAACCTAATGCCAATCAAACGATTCATCCTTGATTATCGTCTAAGCACATTGGGGGACTGCCGCCTTTGATAATGTAACTGTTATGAATTTCTTTCTCTGTCCACACGACCGCCCCTCTTGCGTTCCCATGAAACCCCGCTGTCATGACAACAATTTTATCACCACTCGCTGCCCGCCATTTTGAAGCGATAACAAAAGAACGCGTCAAATTCCTTGTAAAAGCACACAGATTCCATGGTTAAAAAGGTGTCCCAACTCCTCCTCCGCAGAGTTTGCGTTGAAAAGCTGAAAGAAATGTATCAAAAGCATCGTTTAAGTAGCAAGAATGGGTACATTGTAAAATATTAGTTGTAACAATGCTCGTGCTTGGGAAAATGACGATGAAATTCAATATTTTCGTTTGTGGGAATGCCGCCTACGTTTTTAACACGTTTTTGAATTGGATACAGAAATAAACTTAAAACCTATTGTACTATACATGTACAATGTCAATGTAGTATTGCTTGGGGACGAAGCTTTATGTTTCAAGTTGGATTTTTGGAGAAATCGAGTGTGACTAGGCGTATTTCCTTCTTCGTCCCCTCCCCCATCTCTCTCTCTCTCTTCTTCTTCTTTTCCATCTTCCCGCTATCTTCACATTCCTTATTTCTTACTTTTTACATGTCCGATTTCCCCCTCCTTCTTAAATTAATATGTGCCCCATCATCAATTTGTTTGAGAGGCGTCTGGTTGATCAACTTTATGTTTAAGGATGTTCCTCATAATTAATAAAATTCGCTTATTAAACGCAAAACTCATTGCATTGCATTGTTGCTAGTCTTACAGAAATTGTTGACATGATTAGAAATCTGTTTGTGATATGTTTTACTATTCATAATTAACTGACACAAATTATAAATATTATACTCTTAAGACAGGCTAATCATTCTGATATCTATATTAATACATTCTGTCATTAAATGTAATCATTTAGATTCGTTAAGGGAAACATTGCCCAGCATTGGCACGTTTCTAAACAGCATTAAGTATTTCTATATCCTTGATGTCTTACAATAGTTACCAATTTAAATTATTGAAATCATTTGAATATAGAAAGTCATTTTTATCGAGGATTTTCACTTCAAAACAAGGTGTTTCTTAACGTGACTCCTTAAATAGTGGATTTCTGCTCCTGTATCTTTAGGTCGAGTGTATATACTGCTTTTATTACGCCATAACTTAAGAATGTGACTTAAGTATAATGCTGGCATTCAAAAGACTCCGTGAGAACCATTACTTTATAAATCTATCGAACTGTCTTCCTGCAATTCTTACATCTATCACGCTATACTATGCTCTCCACTTAAGAATCTGACTTAGGTGAGATCTTGTATAAAAAAGAACCCCTTCATGAGAATCCCTCACAGCATGATAAAACCAACCCCTTTTGACTGCTTTTACTTTTGTCTAATCGTCTTTTCTGAGAAGAATTTCACGCCAAATTTCAGACCCTCAATACCATGGTCACCACACGTAATAAGGCGAAGGACAGTTAATAACGTAATCGTTTAAATACGAATCCCACCATGTTTTTTTTCACAAGAATTAATATAGAGTGAGTGAATGTCAAATGTTTGTCCAAAGTTGACCCGACGTAGCAGCGAGAGGTCTGTTCACAGTAAGTAGAGGCGACCGATGATATATACATTGTAGGATACGAGGCATGGACCTTGTAAATTCTTGGCACATGCACACTTTGTCATAAAGTTTTGCAAGAATCTAAATTGGAGGAAGCAGACTACACGTACGAAGAAGTAGAAGACATTTCTCAGTGGTTTCTAGCAATTTTTTTCCTGTATTGCGTGTTAAAACATAAAGACAGAGAGGGGGACTGGAGAGAGAAAGATAGAGGGAGACGGAGAGAGACAGAGAGAGAAAGAGTTAGCGATACATGAACTCCTTTTTTTTTGGGGGGGGGGGGGGGTGGGTGCTTTCGTACAAAATATGGTAGCATTTGCGAACTTTACAGAAGTCTTACAGAGATAGCAAGTTTCTTTTTCTGAGATGTATAGGCTTATGAACATACAAATATTCAGGTCGGTATAGATTTTGTTTCTCCTGGCCGTCAAATTCAGATCTGTTTCAATAAATCTTCCAAAAAATGAAGTTTCAAAGTGCCTCTTGTATTATGCCACCAACACTGAGAATTCGAAGACAAGGAAATCATATTTCGTAATAAATCATCCAATTTCGCGCCTGGGATGAAAACACGACATCTTTGGCGCCGATAAACACAAACAGGGAGCCTTAGAGGATTCATAATTTTGTTTACAATTTCTTTCCGCAGTCATCGTGAATCAGTTGATATAAATTCTATCATTTTGGTGAATGTCAAAAGGTTATAAAAAGAATTCGGAAACATATTAAGATTGTTGTTTTATCGATGAAAGATTTAAGAAATTGAGGGGAATGACTTGCGGATACGAGGGCTGCTTACTGCGAATTATTTTAAGTGTGAACAGCGGCGAATTTAGGGAATTTAGGGCGGAACAACTGCCCATTTAAATCCCAAATGATATAGTTCAACTGCACAACATACAAAAAATGCCCCTTAAAAACTGTTGTGTAATTTATTGTAATGTTGCCCCTTTAACAATCCCGAACAACAGGCGTAGCCATTTTATGAACCTACGTGAAACATAATTTACTAGATCATATTTACCTCAAGGGGTCAGGGGGTCCATTTCCATGATAGAGATGGGGCAAATGCATCAGTCGTAGTTGAATACATCATAAGAAAATCTCGAAGTAATTGGGTCAAGTGTGTGACCCCTCTCCCCCTCTCTCCCCCCCCCCCCTCCTTCCGGCTCTATCTACTATATTAGCAGAGATGTTGAGATTATTAATAATAATAATAATACATACGATTTATAAGGCGCCAAATCAACTTGACAGTCAAATGCTCAAGGCGCAGCTTGTGCAAAAAGATGAAATACATTACATGATACATTTATACAAAGTGCGATAGGAAAGGTACAGACGTGAAAGGTTATGGTAATCAATAATTATAATTCTTAAGATGTTTTTTAACACTTCAGCAGAACTGCTATTCTTAATCCTTTGAGGGAGAGTATCCCATAATGAAGGCCTAGCATGAGCGAAGGTTCGCTCCTCCTACTTTGTTTTAACCCTAGGAGTAACAAGTAAGCCAGAGTTTTGAGAACGTAGCTGACTAGAAGGAAAGTAATGCTTAATCAAGCCGATGTTATACTGCGGAGCAGAGCCATGTATACAGTGAAATAATAGCAAAATAATCTTGAAAACAACACGTTTTTCTAATGTGGTTCAACAGAACACAGTGATATCCTAAATACCCGCTGCACATATTGAGCGTCATTTGCCTGACGTATGGCTGCGTTAGTGACGTGTGTGCTCTTTAACGTACCATTATGAGAGCGCAATCGTACAAGAAGTTATTGCAAAACGAACGGTTCTCACAAGTATACGTTAGCGTTAGAGCCAATTAACGCATGATTAACGCTTGAAATAGCGCAAGCGAAATGACGCCTCGTTTGCAACGCGCATATAGATACGATGTCATACATGGTATGTGCCCACTGTTAGTTTGTTGTGCTAAATGTGGTATTTTATTTTGAATTACTTCCAAATTGTATCTAATTCTGATACTCGACCGCAAACGTTATTTTTGTCCGCCTCTATAGTGTTAAATTCATGGAATTCATGGCTTGGGATGGTGCCAGTTTTTTAAGCGTCTTAAAATCTTTAGACAGATCTTAAGTTAAATCTTTAAACAGATCTGAATATCTCGTGTTTCTCATTTAACGCTTGGCCTGGCATATCTCTTTTGCACTTATCCCCCTCCTCATCCTACCCCCCTCTCACTCTCTCTCTCTCTCTCTCTTTCTTTCTTTCACACACATTCCCTCTCCCTCCCTCGCTATCTCTCTTTTCTTTTATCTTTCTCTTTCTTTCTCTCCCCTACGCCATCATCCCTCTTTCCCTTTTATATCTATCTCCCTCCCTCCCTCTAACGTATTATATAGCGTATATAGATCCGACGAGCTTTCTTTTGAGTCGTGACATTTTATGGTTTGCAGTGCTTCGTCATAATTATATGTCTTGTACTCCTCATAATAAAATTGTAATCACTACAAATGGCGCTACATCTACATGTATATACTGTTTAAAATGGTTAATATATGATATCTCTCTCCTTCTCTTTTTCCTCTCTCTCTCTCTCTCTCTCTCTCTCTCTTTATTGTATCTCTCTTTCCCTCTTACAGGTCGTTAGAATTTGTGTCGGGTATGGAAAGCAACAGCAGAGTATTTACAGTGGCAGTATCTGGTCTCTTGCGATTAGAGGTAAGAATATTGTTTTCTTCGTTCTTCTTTTTGCTTTCTCCTTACTAATCCATTTCCCTCCTTATCACCGGGTTATCTTTCCTCTAAGTTAAAGAGAAGAGTATCAATAAAAGCTTGATACGATTTGATAAATGGACCCATGCAGTATATCTTTGTTGAGAATATTATATATACGTCTTGCCTTGGTAAGATTTGTACTGCTACTCTATTACCTACTACTCATCCCAATCAAACGTCTTGAGTGCCATTGCTCCCCTCCCCGAATGCAACATGTTGTCAGTGCCGTAACCACCCCCTCCTCATCCTAATTGAAATAAAAAGCACCTCATTACCTTTAGTTTGGGTTACGAACCACAATCCATTACTGTACCTTAGTTATTGTGCTTTAACGTTTAGATACAGTTTTTCATACGACACTTTTACCTTCAGACTGGCAATTATGACCCGCCAACTTTATCATGTATTTCTGTATTACTTTACATTACTTTAAATATATCTCATCTATTTTTCTCATATTCTCAGGAGGGCCAGTACGCGTCAGTGTATATCGACAACAGCTCTGGTCGTCGTATTGAGATTCAGGTCGGTTCTGACTATAGCGGAGTCTTGATGGGAGTCTAGTTATATCTTTGGATCATCCAAGCTTGCGGATGGAAATGAGACTATCGGGTTACATTCGACGCCTTTTCAGTCATAATTATATCAGAAAAGGAAAACGTTAATTGCGAAATGGAAAACGTTCTGCAAAGTTGGATTTTACTTTGAACCCTTTCCATGCAGGTAAAACAGTGAAACCGATGTTGTGTATCGATGTTGTGTATCTATATGATCAGCTAGTCATCGTCGCCTCCACAGATGAAAAGCGAAGTGTGGCCATGTTTGAAGGAGACGAAACAATATTTGAGGCATTGCATGGTCAGTTTGCAAGTAATAGAGTGAATTTAAACTTTTCTTCCAAGCGACATTACAATATATATTTGAAAACAGCAAGATGTAATTCTGCATGCAGACATGTCAATTCTGGCCTAGGACCAAATCTGAGGTCGGTGGAAACCATTTTTTTTCGAGGAACTCGGCCAAAGACCACTATCGTGAGGCCGTCAATGAGCTTAGTTACGCGACGGCAATCGAACCTTCAGCAGATATGGAAATTTCCTGATTTTTTTTGTTAATTTATCAAAGTGAAACAGTTTCCTGATCGTTGTCGATTACAAATGGATATGAAGAAATTGGTAGCATATTCAACAATATAAAATTCACCAAGAGACAAATATCTTGAAGAGATCTCGGTGCGTGAAAATGTTCGTCAGATGGTGAACCATTTTGCAAGATTTAATGCCGTTGCTACAAAGAGTGATGATAGGCCAATATGGCTCTTGAAAACTTACTCACCTGACTTTCGCCAATCGAATCACGTGATATTTATCGTCAGCGTATCTGAAGGACAATACTAAGAATTTGGAATCTTAAGATGAACCTATACTATAGAAAGAAAACGACAGTTTTACAACTTTACATCGTTGATGATCATTACGAGCTGCTTGTAACACCCAGTCGTAGTTCAAGTAAAATACAGCATGATATTTGAATAAAAGAGGGTTAATTAACCTAATTTTTGTTAATTCAAATAATTTAGAACAGTAATAACAAAGATGGACTACGATTGTCAGAAATCTGTTGTATTTCAATTGCACGATGTAAGGTGTAGCGCTGTCATGCTAGTGGTGTATATTGATGAAAATAATATGTACATGTATAATCAATCAGTGTATCTCCTATTTTTGTACCAAAACGTGGCAAAATCATAATAAGTGTTCCACAAGGTATTGTTATTTATAGTGAAATTTATTTTGATTCGAGTGTTAAAATCGTCAAGATTATGTAATAGACCAGTCATCTGTCGCCAGTATCCTGAATTATATACAAAAATCATGATTGTATTGCTGTGGAGTATACAGAAATTTAATTTTAAATGGGGCTGCAGGGGGGGGGGGACGTACGTAGGGTACTTCAAATGCTGGATACGCCTCGGGTATAGTTCACTGATAGCTATTGTTTTACCTTTTTTTGGGGGGGGGGAGGGGGGTCAATATTTTTTTTATCTTACATAAAATTGTGGTAACCCGTGGCAAGAAGACATGTGGTCATTGATATATCCCGAAATGAACGTGAATTTGTTTGCGGGCCCTAATCTAATGTCAACTGGTGATAAACAATTTAAAAGAACTCTCAAAATTCATTTCAAATTCGTCTCAACCTTAAACAATCACGAAATGAATTAGTTTGTGCTCTATAACTTGTATCATTTGATATTCCTTTCTTCTTCCCTATGATCTAGTCATAATAGTTCTCCTTATAATTCGCGATTGCAAATTATCAAATAATATAGCGATGATATTATAGTTTCCTGATGATTTTGTTATAGGACGTGGAATTAAGTTCGTATTCAGGACGTTTGTGACCAATTAGTACGATATTATCACTATGCGATTGTAGTTATGTATAGAACTTTGTCTTGTATAAAATCCAAATTGTAAACAGATGCATTATGTATGCTCTTATGGCAAAGAAATCGGTGTTATGATGACAGAAATTATGTGTATTTATCGTTCAAGAAATTGAAATGTTCGTCGTGTATTATGTCTCTTTGTAATATAACTTATTGTGACCTGTATATTCATTATTTATATTTAAAATTTACATTGTAGACATTGTAAAGGATATGACAAGATGTGTAAGTATCCCCTGTATAATTGAATTAATGTGTTTTTGAAAAGCATATGAATATGAGAAAGGCTTGGGATATTACGAGATCAACTTGTGACCAAATAAAATATCTTATTGTCAAAGTATCGTGACAGTAATTTTCCTCATTTTTGATTGCCTATGAAACTTATTTTATAGACTAGCATTATCTTGAACCTTAATAAAACAAATCAAATGAACAATATTTGAATCCAAATTTTAAAAAACTATAAACATGCAAAAACAAAAAAAAAAGCAATTGAAATGAGCTAAAATGCAACAACAACAACAACACAAATCTTTAAATGATTTTTGTCTTCCTCCGGAATTACAGTGCGTAAAATTATGGTAATAAAACAATAAACTTTTTACATCGACAAATACACACTGGAAGTTATTTCGATGAAATGGTTCAATGAACCGCCAAAATCATTTCACTTTCATGAATATTGATATGATTTAATGTAGCTTATGATCCACATTGGATACGTTTAAAGAAAATGTATTAACAGAACGGAATATACTGGATCATGGATATGTATATGAACAAATTATCATGACTGGTTTTATCCAGAAGTTTCGTTTCTCTCAACTCATGAAGCGTATTTCATGTAATAGTGTGGTGCTCAACCCGTTGTTCGTTTACCATTGCCATGCATACTCCACATAGTCTTGATTAAAATTGTAACATAAAAGGGGTCGTGCACCATTCTGGATCTGTAACTTTTTCCGATATTTTCATTTTTGAGACATTTTAATAAAGCTTATTACTACCAAGATGGTTTTGTCAGGTTCATATCGAAGCTATTGTACTTGAAATATTTATTTTTCGCATATTTTTGTATTTTTCTTTGAATCTCAGGGTTATGTTTTGTATGGAACCCTTAATTAACTGCACTGCCATCGCTTTGTATGTGTAAATCATAAAACATAAATCATGTATGAACTGAATAGAATAAAAACGCTGTAATCGTAAATACTTTTCAATGATCATGTGTCAGTTTGTTGTGAAATGGCAAGGAAGTAGCCCCTAATGGTGATGACGACGATGTTAATGATGATGACAATAATGATGTTAATGACGATAGTGATGATGATGATGATGATGATGATGATAATGATCATGGTGATGATGACGATGGTTATGATGATGGTGATGGTGAGGGTGATGATGATGATGATAATGATGATGATGATGATGATGATGATGATGATGATGATGATGATGAAGATGAAGATGATTACGGTGATGAAGATGATTATGGTGATGATGGTGGTGGTGGGGATGATGGTGATGGTGAGGGTGATGATTACGATGATGATGGTGATAAGTGGTGATAATAGTGATGATGATGATGGTGGTGGTGATGATAATGATAATGATGATGATGATGGTGATGATGGTGATGATGACGATGGTTATGATGATGGTGATGGTGAGGATGATGGTGATGATGATGGTGATGGTGAGGGTGATGGTGATGATGATAATGATGATGATGATGATGATTGGTGATGATGGTGATGAAGATGAAGATGATTATGGTGATAAAGATGATTATGGTGATGATGATGGTGGTGGTGGTGATAATGATAATGATGATGATGGTGGTGATGATGGTGGTGATGGTGTTGATGATGATGGTGATGATGATGATGATGATGGTGATGGTGAGGGTGATGATGATGATGATAATGACGATGATGATGATGATAATGACGATGATGATGGTGATGATGATGATGATGATGATGGGGATGATGATGATGATGATGATGGTGATGATGATGGTGGTGGTAGTGATGATGATGGTGATGGTGAGGGTGATAATGACGATGATGATGGTGATGAGTGGTGATAATAGTGATGATGATTATGATGGTGGTGGTGATAATGATAATGATGATGATGGTGGTGATGATGGTGGTGGTGGTGTTGATGATAATGATGGTGATGGTAGTGGTGGTGGTGGTGGTGGTGGTGGTGGTATAGTGGTAGATTATGCATTGATGCTTCCTATGTTGGTGAGTATTGTTGCTGCTGCTACTGCCGATGGTAACAGTAAAAGTAATAGATTCAAACAGAAAACCCATCAACATAACATCATCTATCATTATACAGCAGTTAAACAAGGCTTTGACAAGGCAACATGCTCATTGTACTGAATTTTCTCTCTCCTTGATTCAAACAAGGATGTAGCGTCTTTAAAGCCGTATTCAGTTTAAGTTATTTTTTAAATCACTGGTTTTGTTTATGAATTTCTCAATCGTCCATGTAAATTACTACCATCGAAAGTTACAGACAAGTCATCTGCATGGTACCAGTTGGCCTGATGAAGCGTCCCTGAGACAGTGACGTGAAATGTCGCATGCTTAAACAAAGTAGGCTAAGCTGTCAAGTATTGACTATTAGGTTTTGGTGCAATTATGGAAATGATTCCATATTTACGCCCAAGAAATCTTTGAAATTTAAGGTGTAGAAATAACAATTTTTGAAGCTTTTAGCAATGATAGTATGACTCAGTTTTACTTATACTGCATTCTGACTTTATTAATTTCCTTATCTTTATCCAAAGTAAAAGTATCAGTAGTCAGAAATGAACCTAGAGAATAATACATGGCTAGTGAAAATTAGAAATGGTGTATCTAAACCTCTCAAGGGAAAGGACGGAACATGATATTCTTAAGAAAGTACAAGTACCAGCGTTATGGTGAAGGATATTGCATGTTTTTCGCTAATCGTAACAGAATCAGACGTGACCGTGGGAAGATGATAATTTGAGATGTCCGTCTGACAACCCGGAGGAAGCAAAAGGGAGAGTCTGGTGTCATCCTGAGTCTGTAGTTGGACCATCAAGGGGGTCACATGGGGGTTCGAATCTTAGAAAGGGTGAGGATGAGGGATGAAAGGGGGAAGGAAGTGGATGTAGAGGGGGATTAAAGAGATGTGAAAGTGAAGATGATCGTGGTAATGAAGAGAGATGGGGTCAGAGCATTGGTATCGAGAGGGGTGGGTGGATGGGGGTAGAAGATGTAGGCCGATATGGAGGCGGGGTGACATAACTGTGAAAAACAGAGAGAGAGAGAGAGAGAGAGAGAGAGAGGGGGAGGAGAGACAGACATTTACAGACAAAACATACAGACAGGAGTACATACAGAGACAGGGACGAGCAGAGAGAGAGAGAGACAGAGAGGAAGACAGAGATAGAGAGAGAGAGAGAGAGAGAGAGAGAGAGGGAGAGGGTGAGCAAAAATGCTAACAAGACCGAGAGATAGAGAAAGAGATTGACCAAAAAAATCACAAAGGAAGGTTTAAGTAGTGAGAGAGTGCATAGTTATAAAGACAGAGAGACATTAAGCAGAGAATGGAAAGGAGGAAAGGAAAAGAGATGAGAAGAGGAGAGAGATAGCGGGAATGGGGGGGGGGGGGGGGGTACTATATAGTTGCAAGGTATTACAGGCTGGGTCCGGCAGTGCCAAAGGTAAACAAAAAAAAATTGCAGTGAGTAATTATTCTGCTCCATGATCATCATTTTCTGGATACTCCACTGGCACCATCGCCCCCTAATTCATATTATAGGCATATATAACTATTACAAGGTAAAGGGGTGAATAGAGAAAGCAAAGAAAAAATAGTGACATGAAATTGTTAAGGTGATGAAAACAAGATAATATATTCCAATTCTTATAAAAGATAAAGCAACAACACGCTGTTCTATAT